GTAGTGTGTGGTGGACTAATATGATGGGTGTGTGTTGCAGGTGTGTTGTAGTGTTGTGGACTAATATGATGGGTGTGTGTTGCAGGTGTGTTGTAGTGTGTGGTGGACTAACATGATTGGTGTGTGTTGCAGGTGTGTTGTAGTGTGTGGTGGACTAACATGATGGGTGTGTTGCAGTGTGTTGTAGTGTGTGGTGGACTAACATGATGGGTTTGTGTTGCAGGTGTGTTGTAGTGTGTGGTGGACTAACATGATTGGTGTGTGTTGTAGTGTGTGGTGGACTAACATGATGGGTGTGTTGTAGTGTGTGGTGGACTAACATGATGGGTGTGTTGTAGTGTGTGTGGACTAACATGATGGATGTGTTGTAGTGTGTGGTGGACTAACATGATGGTGTGTGTTGTAGTGTGTGGTGGACTAACATGATTGGTGTGTGTTGTAGTGTGTGTGGTGTTACTAACATGATTGGTGTGTGTTGTAGTGTGTGGTGGACTAACATGATTGGTGTGTGTTGTAGTGTGTGGTGGACTAACATGATGGGGTGTGTTGTAGTGTGAGGTGGACTAACATGATGGGTGTGTGTTGTAGTGTGTGGTGGACTAACATGATTGGTGTGTGTGTTGCAGGTGTGTTGTAGTGTGTGGTGGACTAACATGATGGGTGTGTGTTGTAGTGTGTGGTGGACTAACATGATGGGTGTGTGTTGTAGTGTGTGTGGTGTACTAACATGATTGGTGTGTGAGTGTTGCAGGTGTGTTGTAGAGTGTGGTAGACTAATATGACGAGCAGCGTGGGGCGAGTGTGTTGTGGAGTGGGCGTGGTCATATGATGGGTGGCGTGGGGCGGGGGTGTTGTGGAATGGGCGTGGTCATATGATGAATGGTGTGGGGCGGGTGTGTTGTGGAGTGGACGTGTTGTGGAGTGGGCGTGGTCACATGGGTGGCGTGGGGTGGGTACGTGTGATGGTATGAGAGTATTTGAAGACTGTGGGTAGTATGGGTGGATTATCATATTAAAGGAAACCGCTAAACCTGTAGGGGTCATACAGCACCTGAGGAAATGAAAAGCAATAAGTTTATATCAGGGGAACAGCATCAAGGAACCTCCTGGGGGGGAGGGGGTGATCGGGCGTGTGTGGGCGGTGAGCGGGCGTGTGTGGGCGGTGAGCGTGTATGTGTAGTGTGGTGGGCTGGGGCGTCCCACCACCACTATGGCCGCAGCTTTGAACCTTAACCATGTAGGGTGAAGCTAGCTACAAGCTCCACCAGTGTGTTCGTCCTTCCACTCTGCTCTAACACATTATATTAGCATATCATGGATACCTTACGTAACTCAACCTTAATATTTATAGTTATTTAGACCAGATATTAAAACTGGGTCACCTTTAGAGAGCTTACTCATGATAAAACATTTCATTTCAAGAGAGCGAAAAGTTTAAAAGTGGTTACAAAATTCAGAGAAACATTGGGCAGACTTGGTTCTGGCTACGTGACTCACAGTGGAGTACCTGTGGCCGACGACTGCCTTGAGGCCACCCTTGTTGCCAACTAACACATCCAGCCTTCCCACTCTATTTACCTATAGTTTTTATCATTGTTTGCAGATGCTGCCTTGCCCCAGGGGACAACTCAACTGTGTAAAAAAAATAGAAAACTCTGTTTTTGTAAAATCTTTCCTTCGTGTTATTAACCGTCGCTGTTTATAAATACACTATTATTAATTAATGTATTTTACCCCTAATAAGACAAAAGTACTGTTACTTCATGGAAATGTAATAGCGGCGAGATGTTAGTTCAGTAGGTTTAAATGGAACAGGGATGATTTGTGTTGATATTCTGGGGAAGATAAAAAAAAAAGGAGCTTCAGCTATCACCCTGAGGTATACCGCTCCCCTGGGGATGGGATATGTCATCTCTACACTGATTCTGTGATTAACATTTGTAGGTCTTATTCTAACAGTTCAAATAGAGATCAGGGAAAACAATATAGTTCACATTTTTTTATGAAATAACTACCATATACCTTTTGTATAAATTAGACACGTGCAGGTATCCAGGTAAGCACTGTAATCAGCTTTTGGGTGAAAAAGAGAGAAGTGCCTTCAGTCGTAGAAATAAAGCCAGGGTTAAGCCCTGCAGTGGAGCGTTCGATGGCGAAAGGTAGAAGCATATTGGTTGGGTACAACTGGTAGGTACAGAAATTCAGGAATTCAGTTTACTGTCTTATTTGGAACGACCATTCTTAAAAATTTTAAAACTTGTGTTGATAGTTGTCGAAGTCTTCGATGAATTATTCATAAAATCTCGGACTTGTCGTAGTGTGAAGTTTTATGTGGCAACGGAGATGTACTTGACAGTTCTATTGCAGAGTCGAGAGTGGAGTTCCTTGGTGAACATTTAGTATTGTTCGAGGGTGTTGTGAAGAAACGTAGGCTTTTCCAGCGAAACTGGGGATGTGGTCTTCGACTTCAGTTTCTACTATAGAGGTTCATATCTTCATCTTCAGGCAGTGTTGTGGTTATGGAAGCGACAGCAAGCACAGCAGGTGAAGTGGATTGGGTTTCTTGGGAGGCTGCAGGGTGGTAGGTCTGGAGTGGCTTGGCGGCAATGCTTTGAGGATCTGTCGAACGTTAATGCTACTTGTATTGGACATTGCAGGATCAGAAAACGAAGTGAAGCTAGGCAATCCCTTGAGGCAAAAGATTTCGTTGATGGTAGAGTTGAAAGTCCCAGGGAAAGCAGCGCTTTTCATGTGAGCATAGATCATACAGTATATAATCTTGATGGCAACGTCGTCTTGGACTGTTGGCATAGTATTGATTGCAGAGGCCGGTTCTTGAGTTACTCGGAGAATCTTTTGAGTATCATTCTGAAGTAGAGTGATGGCAGTATAGGTAGGTGTCTTTCTGGAGCAAAGTTTCTTTTGTTCCTCAAGTTTTTATTTATGATTTCTTTTCTGAGTAGACATCTGGCTGCAAGAGCACTGTGATAGTAGCTGAGGTGCAGCCAATATGTCTCCTTCGTTGCCACAGTTAGAACAATATTTTTTCTCCCTCAGTTGGACAGACCCCTAACAATGTGTGTATAAGAGTAGCGGTTCTAGCACTGGGTATTGTAGGTGTAGCACTCTGGTTCTATGTTGTTGAGGCTGATGTAGTAATAGAAGATACGGAGACCGCCAATAAGTGCTTGATATAGGCCATGGAAATCTCAATGAGAGCTGATCTTGAGCATTGAGGAAGCTGCTGGAATTTGGGTAACTATCAAGAGTAGGCCAGTCGTTTTGGTCTTCAATTAATTTTATTTTCAATTCGGCTGTTGATTGGCTGGTGATGTCGCTATCTAACCCCTTAAAACTGATTTTTGGCCTCGGAGCTGGAGAAAGAATGTACAATGTTACAGTCCATAAGGAAGTTCATTGCCGGAGTAGTGATCTTGTCTGCCTCATCGACACTGAAACAGTCGACAGTGAAAGCATCCTTAGCTATGAAGAGGTGGACAGTTTCACCTGCAGAATGATTGTCAGGAGGATGGCCAAGGTCGTTGATGAATCAGAGATTGCCTCACGAAGTGTGTGTTAGTGATGGTGGACTGATGATGGTGTTGGTGGTAGTGATGATGGTAGTGATGGTGTTGGTGACAGTGGTGGTGGTTGGGGGGGGGGACAATGAGAGGAAATTACAAACATAGTCTGTGATTTAGATGTGATTACTTGATGATAGTTTAACTTCTTAGAACTTCATGAGATGATTTTTCTCGGTCAAGTGAGGTGTGGAGCTTGCCGCAAAGGGCGTGCCCAAATTGCTTGAATGACCAGGCAGTCACCTCAGAGGGCTAGTCTGAGACTAGACCGCAGCACCTATGGAGACAAAGACAAAAGACGCAAGTGAAACTATTGTTGGGACAACGTTTCTGTGTGTGGAACTTCATGGATGAAACATGTCAGACGCTGCACATGTCTCTCTTTCATATATTTGTATTGTATACCTATTTACTTCTGTGCGTATAGGAGCAGCAGGCGTAAGGAAACTTGCTTGTAAGTATGTCTCATCGCTGGAATCAAACCCGGGTCCTTTCATTTGAGAGCGGATGGTTGTACAAGTGAGTGAGGGTTGGTGAGGCAGACGGACCCAGTACCTGCCACACAAACAAGGTGGGTTCGCACGTCATGCCTGGGGCACCTCACTACCTGTGTTTAACTTACTGACTCAAATAATAGCAAACAGTCTCTCTTGGTGGTATGATAACCTGATTTGTTCATAGTAGCGAATACACTTTCACTCCTTCATTATTCTCCGGCGTAACTAGATAAAAAAATCAGTGCGTATATTCACTAATACGCCCGTGACTCGCATTATTTAATCCATAAAAAAGGGACAGACTGGGAAGGTTTAAAGCCTTGAGAGGAAGGAGTGAGAGTGTCGTCTTCCATTTAACTTCTCTGTTCGCCTTTGCACCAACCATTTACCTTTATAAGGCTGTAATTTAATACTCGTCTCGATATGTTGCCGAAGGGCATCAATGACGTATTGTGCATCAATTGTAGCGTAGAAGTGGTCAGTGTAGGAGATGCAACACTATGGTAATGACTGTTGAACATTTTCTTGTATTCCTACAAGGGTACAACCGTTACTCACATATTAGACGACGTTCGTTTAATGGCAACATTAAAGGGACAAAGGGAACATACTTCTGTGCTGTTAACTTGTAATAGTATAACAATGCGTTCAAGACATACGAATATTAAAGGTCTCCATGGATAATGTGGCAATGATCTTCAGGACTCGCCATGTCGCCAGTATTTATAACTGCATTCATAACATTTAAGTTTACTGGCCCTAAATCACTTACTTATATTTATGAATTCCTATCTAGTATTTTATTCATAGATTAATAATTATAATACATGTAACTAATCTGGATAATGGCTAGTTTATTTTCGTTTGATAGAGTAGTGATTGTATGTAGGAGTGTGTGGCAGTGAGGGTGTGTGTGTGTATGAGTGTGTGGAGCCCCAGTGTTGTGCTGACCATGTGAGCTGGGTTATGTGTGTGCTCTCGCCGCCGGGATATGTGAGGCAATTTCTGGATATTTAGTTAATAAATGAGAATATTTTACCAGTGGCCGTATGTTTACTTTGTGAGGAAGACGAAGAGATAAGAAAAGCAGCCATCATGAGCATTGACGCACAAGGATTAAGGTAAGCCAGGAGAAAGTTTACTATACATGACTTTACATTCGGTCTAAATTAAAGTAAATATTTTCTTGGATATCTGTAATTTAGCTTATATTTAAAAGGAATTTATTTTACCAAACTCACTGATAAAAGTTAAGACGATGTTTGTGTGAAATACTTGGAATAATGTGGGTTAAGATCCCTGGGGAACACCAGTGCTAGAGACACTACTTCCTTCATGGCCTCATAACACAACACTACGAATTTTAACACTTAAGTCACTATTTTACCTGAGTTTAGAAGACCTTGGAGGCCTCCAAATTTGTACGTGAGACAACCATCTTTACCTTTCTTGTAAGAGTGAGTCTTAAGATTGTTGAGCAGTGACGAGGCAGTTCTGGCTCCAGTCTCAGTACCTGGGCTCAGTACTGCCCAGTACCTGCTGACTCAGGAGTACCCAGTACCTGGCTCACTGCTACCTTGTACCTGGCTTGCTGCTACCTTGTACTTGGCTCTCCCCACTTCCTCACCCTTTCTCTCTCCCCTCCTTTTTCATCCCTCATACGCTTCCCTCTCTTCCCCCTCCTCTCTTCTCCCTCATCCACTTCTCTCCCCTGTCATCACTTCTCTCCCCTGTCATCCACCTCTCTTTCCCCTCCCCACCTCTCTTTCCCTTCCTCCTCTCTTTTCCTTCCTCCACCTTTCTTCCCCTCCATATCCGGTTTCTCCCCTTCATCTCCCTCTCTTCCCCTCCATCCATCTCTTCACCCTACTCCCCTCCGTCATCCAATTATTCTCCTTCCTCTCCTCCGTCGTCTCACCCTCTCTACACATCTAGTTTCGCCCTCATTACATCTCTACCCCAACCTCCGTGCATCTCTTCCCCTCCCCGGTGCGTTTCTTCCCCCTCCCCGGTGCATCTCTTCCCCCCTCCCCGGTGCATCTCTTCCCCCCTCCCCGGTGCATCTCTTCTCCCCTCCCCGATGCGTGTCTTCTCCCCTCCATACATCCCTTCCCCTTTCCCCTATTCATCTTTTCTCCTTCAAGGTACATAGACAGGTACACGAGTGGGTGAGAGTCAGACCTGCCTAGCATGGGTCGGTAGACCAGCCAGTAGGCCTGCTGCAGTGCTCTTTTTTTTCTTTTCCTCTCTCTCTTCCGTCTTCCTCCACCCATTTTATAAGTCTTCCATCTACACTCTGCTCCAGGCTCAGACTCGTCTAATTCCATGATCTTCAAAAATGGTAAGAAACCACTATGTGGGATCTTTAGCATTTTATAGAAAAGGATCCTGGACACTTCTGTCATGTTGACAACCTTGGAGAAAAAGTATTTGAGGTAGTCAGTCCCTCAGTCTGGAGAAGAGTTCAGCTCCATGGAGCTGAAGAAACCTCCAGGTAACCTCCAGGTACTGTGTAGGCGAAATGTTTCAATAATAAAGATCCCAAATTATTGCAGGTGTCTTAATCATCAACTTGTCATCCCACAGTCACTGATATTATCGCACCTGACGAAGGTGGCAGTAAAGCAACTGTGAAGAAGTATAGACCAAGAGCGCTAGGTTCAGCAGTATCAAAATTTTTGAACTCGTCCAAGGAAGTAAGATTGTCAGTCACATAGAATCACAATTACATACTCCAGGGCAAGATGGGTTTAGAACAGGTCAGTTCTGCCATTCACAGTCGCTAGACGATATGGTTTTGATGGACTGGAACACGAGCTAAATGCTAATGTTGTGTACACTGATTTCGGCAATATAAACACAAATGCAGTATAATGTGATCCTTTATTGACTACGTTTCGCCCACACAGTGGGCTTTTTCAAGTCACAAACAGAACTACCTGGGGTGGAAGGAACGCGAGTATTTATAGTCCGGCTGAGGTCAGGTGAAGAATGCTGCATCTGATGATGTACCGAGTGGGGTTATAGAGTCTAAAAACTTGGGTAGCTTGGAAAGGAGATTGGATAAGTTTGTGAGCAGACCTTCTACAGTGTTCTTATGTGGGATAGCGATGAAGAAGTTTCTTGGCAAGTGGTTCAGCTATGTTATAGAAGCCACTATTCTGGTTGAAGTTGTCGGATATAGAAATAAGTGATGATTCCAGGATTCTTCGGTATTGAGTGTTGTCTTCTGTGGCGATAAGTCTTGAGTTTCTGTAGTTTATCAAGTGGTTGTGTGAATTACGGTGTTGTACGCAGGCATTCCTTGTGTCGTCAGACCTGCTTGCGTATTGGTGTTCTGAAATACGTGTTTGGAGGTCCCTTGATGTTTCGCCCACGTATAACTTGTTGCAGTCATTGCAAGGGATTATGTATACCCCTGCAGAGGATGGAGGCTTGTCCTGCCTACTACTGGTGATGTCCTTGATGGTCGTGGTTGTGGAGGTAGATACTTGGAATGATGTTTTGGTAAAGATGTTGGAAACATGTTTGGCAATGGAGTTGGTGGGAAGGACTATGTATCTCTTCTCGGCAGTGTCTTCTCTGGGTGTGTTGAAGATGTTTAATGCTCGCCGTCTGCAGTCTCTGATGAAGTGACGAGGATAGTGGAGTTTAGAAAATATTTGTTCAATTATAGTGCATTCTTCCTCAAGGAACTCGTTGCTGCAGATTCTGAGTGCACGCAGGAAGAAGCCTATAATTACACCACGTTTGGTTTTGGTGTCGTGGTGAGATTTCGTAAGTCTTTCGACAAGTGCGACTATGGTGTGATTGCACATAAATAACGAGCGAAAGGAATAGCGGGTAAAGTGAGCAGATGGATATTTAACTTCTTAACAAATAGAATACAGAGAGTAACAGTTAACAGAGTGAAGTCAGAGGCTGCCACAGTGAAAAGCTCTGTTCCTCAAGGCTTCCTTGGCTTCATATCAAGAAGCATAAACAATAGGAGTCCTCAGGTTGTTCTTCAACTCTATACATCCTTGGTTAGGCCTCATTTAGATTATGCTGCACAGTTTTGGTCACCGTATTACAGAATGGATATAAATTCTCTGGAAAATGTACAAAGGAGGATGACAAAGTTGATCCCATGTATCAGAAACCTTCCCTATGAGGATAGACTAAGGGCCCTGAATCTGCACTCTCTAGAAAGACGTAGAATTAGGGAGGATATGATTGAAGTGTATAAATGGAAGACAGGAATAAATAAAAGGGATGTAAATAGTGTGCTGAAAATATCTAGCCTAGACAGGACTCGCAGCAATGGTTTCAAGTTGGAAAAATTCAGATTCAGGAAGGATATAGGAAAGTACTGGTTTGGTAATAGAGTTGTGGATGAGTGGAACAAACTCCCAAGTACAGTTATAGAGGCCAGAACGTTGTGTAGCTTTAAAAATAGGTTGGATAAATACATGAGTGGATGTGGGTGGGTTGTTAGTTGGGACCTGATAGCTTTTGCTACCAGGTCGGTTGCCGTGTTCTCCCTTAAGTCATGTGACCTGACCTGACTAGGTTGGGTGCATTGGCTTAAGCCGGTAGGAGGACTGGGGCCCTGCCTCTCATGGGCCAGTAGGCCGCTGCCAGTGTTCCTGCGTTTATGTTCTTATGTTCTTATCAGACAGGGAACCTCAGGGTGTGGTCTGGGCGGACCGGGCCACGGGATATTGAGCCCACGCAAACATTAAGAACATAAGAACATAAGAACGATAGGAACACTGCAGGAAGCCTACTGGCCATGCGGCAGGTCCTACAAGTCTCCTACGGCTTAAGCCAAGCACCTCACCTAGTCAGGTCAGGTCACATTGACTTAAGGGTAGGAACACGGCAACCGACCTGGTAGCACAAGCTATCAGGTCATAACTCACCCCACCCTCATCCACTCATGTATTTATCCAACCTATTTTTAAAGTACACAACGTTCTGGGATTATAGGTTCTTCCTGCGTGCACAGGAATCTGCAAGCAAGTGTTTCTTGAAAGAATGCACATAATTGAACAAGTATTTTCTAACTCCACTATCCTCGTCACTTCATCAGAGACTGCAGACGACGGGCATTAAACATCTTCAACAACCCAGAGAAGACTCTGCCGAGAAAGATGATACATAGTCTCCCACCAACTCCATTGCCAAAACACGTTTCTAAATCTTATCAATGCCTCTTTCCAAGTATTACTTCCCACAACCAACGACCATCAAGGGACATTACAGTGATAGACAGGACAAGCTTCCACCCTCTGCAGGGGTAGACATAAATCCCTAGTAATGACTGCAACCAAATTATACGTGGGCCAAAACATCAAGGGACTCCAACAGATATTTTCAGAACACACTACGCAAGCAGGTCTGACCCGGGGGGGGGGAGAAGTGGGGGGGGACACAAGGGATGCCTGTGTATACACACCGTAATTCACACAACCACTTTGATACAACTACGAAACTCAAGATTATCACTACCGTAGACAACACTCAATACCGAAGAATCCTGCGAATCATCATCATCCGACAACTTCAACCAGGAAGTGGATAGCTATAACATAAAGAACATACGAACATAAGAACGAGACACTGAATTCATGATAGGAGCTACTGGCGCTATGCGCAGGGCTCAGCGATGGGCTATCCAGATAGCGCTTCTGCCGCTATCCGAGTATCCTAAACTGATCCAGACATAATGTGCTACTTACAAAACATCACACAGCGACACTCCGAGTATAGGCCACAAACACCATTCGCGGATTATTCGCGCGCGCACCCAGGCCAATCTCCCCACCCCCCACACCTAAACACCCCCACCCCCACCCGGGCAACCGACTGGTAGCATAAGCAATCAGGTCTAACTCACACCCACCCACATTACTCATGTATTTATCCAACTATTTTAAGCTACACAACGTTCGGGCTCTGCCTCTATAAAGGTACTTGGGAGTTTGTTCCACTCATCCACAACTCTATTGCAAACCAGTACTTTCTATTATCCCTTCCGGATAATCTGACTTTTTCCAATTAAAACCATTGCTGCGATGGGGGTTTCCTTTTAGGGTCTAGGCTAGATATTTTCAGCACGCTATTACATCCCGTTATT